ATGTCAGATTATTGTATTTGCAGAGAATTAGCTTTGAAATCAAGTAAAGAAAGCTGTAGTTTTAAAATGCCTTATTGGTATCAGTTAGAAATTTCTTCTATTTTTTGATGTACTTAGAGCTTTTTGAGTATAGAATTTTAAATGGCAGGATTTTACAGTGTTTACATGCAAGTGCATTTTATAAGTGTCCTATATGTGTAAAATAGTATTTCCAACTGGAAAGTGTTGGCTGGCACAGAAGGCCTGGCCTTTTCCTGGTTCCCATGATGTTGCCCACACTGCTACACTCCAGTTTAGTACTGCTTTGTATCATGAGGCCAAGAAATTCCATGTTGTTTGTAAATAGAACATTGAAAAAGCAATAAACATTTATTGAACAAAAGAAACTTGTTTGGCCCAGAGTTTATGTTGAACCAAATTGTTCATAGAAATTTAAATTTCTTTAGATTCATTTCTGTTAATCATCAGTTATTAATAATCACCTCCATCATTAATAGCTGCTTTAATGCTTGCATCTGAGAGAATACTAATGCTTAGTAGCAGTCAGATCCTGATAATGCACTGACTGTTCCAGAGTTCTGTATATGGACTATTCATTGTCGTCGTTCTCAGTTCCCTTCATCGAGCTACTAACTATTAGTTGTTAGTTATATTTTATTTCTATTTTTTCCTGTTAACAGTTTTTTTGTGGGAGAGGGCTCTCCTTCATTTGTTCAAATCATGATGTGAAATTGTCATGATTTTTATTGTATTCTGTAGATGGTGTCAATCAGTTCGTCAGAATTACACATGCTTTTTTTTTTATTAGTTGTGATTAGTTTTTCATGTTGTCATTAAGCCGTCACTAGCTGAGACTAATCTCTTCTCTATCTTTTCTTTTCTTTTTTTTTTTGTTTTGTTTTTTGTTTCTAACCACCCAGCCGCCACCGGCAACTAACCTATGACCTTCTGACCTCTGAACTCTTCACCCAATGATGACCTGACCATGCCTGCCTGCTGATCAGTTAACTGGTAATCGCCTTTGCTTGCCTGTCGTCAGTGCAGCGAGCTGAGGCACTTGTCCGTTCGTCTTACCATCTAACCAAACAAAAGACAAAGAAATTGTTGTCCTCCAACTCAGCTTTTGGTTTCTGCTGTTATTTTTTCCTGTTTGGGTGAAAATGGTTCTAGAACCTGCACTGAAGTAGTAAAGCAATAAGGCCCAATTCATCCCACAGCACTGACCATCTCTCCATGCCCCACCCTAAGCGAACGGTAAGAAGGCCTCCCTTCTGGAGGGAGGCAGACGGCCCTGAACTACTCAGTGACAGGCGGTTACTGTGAGGGACTTCCTAGGAGCCCTTTCCTCATAGCGAGTCCAGCTCTGAATGCACTGTGTGGTGATGCATCATGCATGAACCTTCGGTCAGGGATGTCAGTGGTGAAGCGATTTCACAAGTATTCAAAATTTGATATGCTGTTTAGTCACTACAGTGCCCTCAAAGGGCAGCATCGCAGCCTTTTATGTTGCCTGCCAAATTGGAAGTATCGGGAGTGTGCCATGAGAGAAAAACTTGAGGAATTTTGAAAAGTAATGCAAAGAACAAAACTGCAACACTATTTTTAAAAAGATAAATATCTGAGTTAAAATTACTGAACCTTTATTTTACAGCTCCTTAAAAACATATGAGAACAAGGTACATGCATTATGTGTCACATTACTGGGCAAACTGTTCAAATATTTTTTTTAAACCTCCCTGTATAGAAAAAAATCATTAAGGATGTAAAAGCCATGCTTGCCTATTTGCTGTATACATGTAATGAAATTGTAGATAAAGTGTAGTGCATTGAAACAAATGAACAAAAAGTAGATACTTTTACTATACAAGGGTGCTGGTGCAGAAAAAATATATATATTTTTGGAAATGTAGCATTTTATACTTTCAAGTGTTATAAAAAAAAGAAAAAGAACAAAGAAACCCTTTATTTCATTAAATGATTTTTTCTGGTGGTTGTCAAGAAACAAAAGACCAAAAGAGCCTTTTTGTCTTTCTTTTTTATTTTTTAAGTATTGGAATAAGTCTAAAGAAAAGGAAGTGCCTTATTTTTCTTCATGGTCATTTAGTCAAGTGTCTCGTAAGATCAGCTCCTCCCTCAGAATACAAGTTAATGCATGTTACTCAGTCGCCCAGTATGTGAAAGAAGATGTGAGGGAGACAGATGAGTTGATAGTTTGAATTTCATAATTTTTGCCACTTTACCTTGATACAAATTTGCCAAATCTGATACTGTGAAAAAAAATGGATAATTTTTCTAATGCCTGACACATAAGTTTTGAAACATTCTTTTAAAATCATAATTGATTGCTTTTGATTATTGCAATATTTAATGTTACCCTAAACGACTCTGAGATGAAAACTGATTTGAACATCAGTTTACAGACAGAATTCGAGCTCTTTTTTTATTCGGAGACGAGGGTGTGTAATTGACCCAGACTTGATCAGACTTCTTTCTGCCACACCAGGTCCCGGGGGCAGTCTCCCCTGCTAGTTTTACTAACCTAATCTGCCCCCACACACCCCAACACACTTATTTTTAACTTTAAAAGATTGTGAAAAACGAGCATCATTGTGCACATGTACAAGTACTCCAACTACACCTGAGTTGAAGCTTCCAGTTTCTCATGAAGTTCGGTTAGTGCTGTAGTTGAAGGGGTTTGTGCACAGAGCCTGCATCTATCTAAACCCTCAATTAACTGCTCAGTACCAGGCGTGGCAAATATCAAGGGGCAGCGGGTCCCCAGCTCATCAGCTCGTCCTTCTTACGTACCTGCACAGTCAAGGTCAGCAGCAGCTCAGCGAGCACCCGTGGTGACCGGCACCCTCTCCCTTGGAACCGGTTCAGTTCATTCTATGCAATAGACTCATTGTTTCGTAGCCGCCAGCTTCCGTGCCATGTGCCACTGCTTCGTCTTTCTGTTACACAGACAGTTGTTTTGATTTATTTACAATATGTGATGTGCCATTTTGATTTTGATTTTGGTTGGTTGGTTGAATAAATTTGCGACACTCAAACACTTGAGGTGATAGTAGTTTAAAAACAGTACCAGTATTTGATCCAGTTTCATCTCAGCTGTGTTATACCTGGACATTTTAGATGTTTATCAAAGGTCTTTTATGGGGAAGAAAGAAAATGTATGAAATAGATGTGTGACATTTATGAGTAATGTTGGCTCTGAACAAACTTTTGAAAACTTAGTTGAAACAATTTTGGATCAACTAAAAATAAGCATGACTTTTGAAATCTCTGAATGCCTTGGTTCTCAGTATTATCATTCTTTATTGAATTTATTTCTTATTAAAATATGTAGTTTTTAAGACTTTTTTTGACAGTATTATGTAATTTTCTAGCGTGGGTAGATGGGAGTGTCGCTTGTATGTTATCGTACAGCTGACATGTATTTTTGTCTATTCTTTATTATCTTAGTAGTTTCATGCTATGTATGTACCATAACCAACCTATTGCCTATGAGAAACATGTAAGATAATGTATTTACAGCCATTGTTACAAGTTTATAATGTATTTTTCTATCTTGTTTTATATGTATGTTATATAACATTCAAAAAGAATTTTTTTCTTGATTGAGAAAAGGATACAAAATGCAAAATCCACAATTTTGATAACTGAAAATTGCCAATTGTTTTGCAGTACTTTATTATATTGGGTGTCTTGTCTTTCTTGGGCTTTTTAGTTAGCTAATGAATGAATACATTAGATACTTTTGGGTTTTAGTTGGGATTTTACATAGCTTGCGTTTTAATTCTTTGGTTCTTTGCTGTTTCTATTAACCCATGGCATTATTTTAATAAATGTTATAATACCAACCTACTAACTCTGGACTTTGTCTGTTTATTAACCTTTACGTGTTTAATTGAAATAGACAAAGACACAAGAATGTCAAGTCTTTAGTTACTGGACTAACCCTGAAGAACGTGACCACAGATAACACAGCGTGACTTGTGTTTGTGTTTGTCAGCTGGCAGTCCCGCACACACGTCACAATGGCTTTGTTATTCTTTCACTGGGGGTTGGGGGGTGGGGGTGGGCGTGGGCGTAGGTGCCATTAGAGATGGGAACAGAGTAGCTTTGGTGTGAGGCAGTATTCTAGTCTTGCCACTTGACTTTGGGCCTCTGCATTACTAATTCCACACTTTATCTTTTCTTCTCCAAAATAATCACTGTCTGCTCCCAGCATTGAGGGGAAAGAAGTTCATTGTCATGATCTAGCCCAGTGATGGCGAACCTATGACATGCGTGTCAGAAGTGACACGCAAACTCATTTTTTGGTTGATTTTTTTTTGTTAAATGGCATTTAAATATATAAAATAAATATCAAAAATATAAGTCTTTGTTTTACTATGGTTGCAAAGACCAAAAAATTTGTATGTGACATGGCACCAAGTTAAGTTAGGGTTTTTCAAAATGCTGACATGCCGAGCTCAAAAGGTTCGCCATCGCTGGCCTAGCCCAAGAAACCAGTTTGATTCTTTGTTGAACCATGTCTTGTCATTTCTGCAAGTAGGTAGTGTATGTTTACATCACAAAGCAAAGAATCTGCTGATGTTTTGCCATTTTAATTGGACATTGGGGCACTCAGCAGGGGTAAAGCCCAAGGCAGCACAGCTGGATGCTCAGTCCCCAGGGGCCCCTCCCTCCCTCTGGGTGCTGTCGGAGCTGCACATCAATACAGGGAGTTGGGGGGGGCAGTTAGGAAACGTGTCAGAAAAACTATCCATGAATTTCTTGCATGCAAGTCAGCTTAAGAACAGTTATTAAATGTCTCCATGCTTTTCCCGGCTACAGCCGGTAAACTGGCCTGTTTATGAATCTTTAGGTCAGCTCTTGAAGTGCGTTTCTATTTCACAGATACTGTTAATTTCTTCTCTGCGAAACATCTGGACAATAAAAAATTCTTAGGGTGAATGTTTACATTGATAAACAACGGCTCATTTTTATAGATTACATTTTATTTATTGTAAAGTTCTAAAACTTGGGGCTGGAATGAGTCATGTGTCACGGAAGACATGACTATACGGGATGCTTTTAACGCTCCGGCAGTGTTCTCATGTTACAGCGATTTCTTCCCACAGTGTAGGTCCCATGTCACACAGGAGAGAGCCCAGGTAACGCAGGCAGAATCCAGAGGGTCGTCCGGTCCCGGAAGCTCAGCGGCTTCTCGTGGGGCGTGTTGGGTGGGCGGCGCTCATGTGCTGCTGCTGTCACTGCAGGAACCAGACAGCATCTGCCCGGCTGCTCATACCCGTCCCCGGGGCCGGCGTGACGCTCCGTGCGGGTTACCCCCTCTGCAGCCCCGTCGCAGTCACACTCCAGGGCGCGCTCCGTGTGATCGGGTCGCTTCGCCACCTTTCACGCCAGAGAAGTGCGAGCCTGTTGGAGGAGGTGAAAGCATTGCAGACCCGCTTCTGTCCGGGCTGTGATAACAGACACGGAGCCACTGCCTTACGGTGAGGAGTGCTAGTGTCGCTTTATTTTTCACTGTTGGATAAAATGCAATAATTGACACTTAAGCTTTCAGCCTAGAAGTTGGTGACATGAATGTACTTAGTAGTTATGGTGTAGCGCCACGTAGACGCTCCCACGCGCCCGTGTGGTCACGGGCCTGGGCCGCCAGGGAAGCCCCGCTGGGCGTGTGCGGACACCACCGGTAGGTCAGGTTTTCTCAGTCAGTCCTCGGTGCATGTGGACCTACATTTTCTAGGGCAGCGGTTCTCACCCTGTGGGTCGTGACCATCGGGAAACACATACAGCATATCAGATATGTAGATGACGATTCGTAACAGTAGCAACATTACAGTGATGAAGTAGCAACGAAAATAATTTTATGGTTGGGGGTCACCACAACATGAGGAACTGTATTAAAGGGTCGCGGCATTAGGAAGGTGAGAACCCCTGTAGGGCATCGAGGGCAGATAATGGGCTCAAGTGGAAATGCTCATCAAATCAAGAGTCCTCTTTACCGGGAAGCTAACACTTTTATACGATTCTAAGCTTTCTCCAGTTTGGGGGGAGGGGGAGGGGTGTTTGCTTGTTTAGGGTAAAATGTCTGTCGTTATTCCTTGATAACAATTACTTCTATATTGATAGCAAGGGATTTTTTGTAGAATGAAATGTCTGGCTAAATTATAATCTTATTTAATAGCAAAAATTACTTAGAAAACATTTCTAAGTGATACATGAGGTGATTTTTAACGTTACGAATTCTTGAATACCTTTATTTAAAAGAAATGTTCTCTGTCACACTCATGGTACACAGATGTAGTTTTCCCTGTGGCTTCTTTAGCATAAAGTCTCCATTGGAATACCTTCACGAAGAGACTTGAACTCGTTGGCACTGGTCCTCAATTTAGATTCAAACTGGTTCTCCCATGCGCAGGGCTCTCCTGCTGTGTCTGCCGCACTAACCCCGGGCCGGACGGGGACTGGGGTCCTGGGGGCCGTGGCGGTGCCACACGGGCTTCTGTGGCCTGCAGGGTTGCTGTCCTTTCTAGCAAGACGCCACGCCGTGTGGAACAGCTCGGCTCCTGGGGTAGAAAGGGAGGACCTCCTAAAAAGGCTGCCTTTTATGGTTGGTGTAGTGGCGAGTATAAGATGTGGACCTGTGGACATGATACACGGAGAGGAGAGGTAGAGTGGCTCTTCCCCAGTCCACGTGCCCGCAGAACCACGTGCGACTGAAGCCTATACCAACGGGAGAGCCCCCACCCCCAGCATGTCTGAATCAACACAGGTTCATTTATTGTTTTTATGGGTGCTTTTCCTGCTTAAGCATAAGAACTGACCCTGGAGCCGTAGTATCGCCTCCCTGGCAGGTGTCAGGATGCGTGCCGTCCCGCGTTAGGGAAAACTCGGCCAACAGACTGCCACGGTGTTCCCAGGGGGTGCGCACCCATGGCGCAGCCGTGTCCGGCTGAGGAGCAGACTCGTGTGGGGTTGAGATCCAGGGCAGAAGGAAGGAGCCCAGCACCCCGTGGTGTCTGCGTGGAGAAAGGACACGTGTCGCCAAGTGCTTGCGCCAGGAGAGTGGGTGGTAGAGCCGTGTCCGCCTTCCTGGGGGGGTCTGAGCTCTAAGCTCTGCCTCCAAAGCCCCCATCCTTTGCACACTCCCCAGGCCGTTCCTCTCGGAGCCTCGCTGGCACCCGAGTCTTCCTGAGCAGCCCCCTCTTCCCACGCTTCTCAGCCTGCGCCTCCAAACACTTAGCTGGAGGCTGAGGCCCTGCCCTCATGGCTCCCGTCGGAGACTTCCGTCTCCTGTCCTTAACCAAGTGCTGCCGCCCCCCCTCCCCGCCCTGCCCAGCTCACCCTGGGACTTGCGTTCCTCCTGTTGGGGTGCAGCCTGTCCTCACCTCCCTGCTCCCACATGTCTGTGCTCACCTCTCCTCGCCCGTGGTGGAGACTGGCTCTTCAAACACCTGTTGTCTCAAAGGGTTAATGGCTTTCCCCCTGAAAAATTAGTTGAATATGGTTTTTCAATCAAAAGTATTAAGCCCATCATGATTTGTACATACAGAGGCCCTGTGCACGGAATTCATGCAAGGGCCTTGGCGCAGCTCCTGCCTCTTTGTCCGGAACGAAGGCCATCTGACCTAATTAGCATATTACACCTTTTTTTTTATTACAGATGTCATTTGAGTGGAGGCATTAACTGACTTTTGGGTTTCCTTCCTAATGGAATTTTTTTATAATCTACCTTCTTACCGTAACTGGTTTTGTTAGAAAGCAATTAAGTTAATGGAATATAACACTTGTGTTAAAAAATATTCCACATCTAAAAGAAAATATTAGTAAGTTTGGGATCAAACTTTTCTAAAATGAGATTATTTCAGTTAACTGCCATATTGAGACCACCTTTAAAGTGCTTATTTTTATGTGCCGCACAAATTTAATCACTATGGTTGTTAATGTATGCTCCGGTTACGTAATTGCATACTAATGAAAGTTACAGGGGAAATGGTTAAGAGCAAAATAAGGAAGTATTGCAAGTGAGTCTACAAGTATTGTCTCACAAACTGTTGAAGCTCGCACTGAAACATTTATGCTCACACATTTAACCTGGAACTTGTACCAAGGCTGGGGAGGCCGGGGCTCGAAACCTGAGTTTTAAAAGTTGCCTCACAACGTGTTTAAACCAGTCAGTCTATAAAGTTAAAACAGAAAGTAGCTCTGAATACATTTTAAATGATGTTCATGAGCGACGCTTTTGCCATTGTTTTCCCGCTGAGGTAAAGGGGCATTGAAAAATTATTCCGAGGTTAACCTAATTCTACATGGTGGGTAAATGCAGAATGAAGCTAGTGCGTGGAGCGCCGTGCTGGGAGACACCCGAGGTCTAGATCAGATTGGTATGTGGGGGAAGACCTAGATTAACAAACAAACCAAATGTACAGATGCCCCAAACTAAACTTACTCCGGGAATTTAAAGCAAAGAAGAGAAAAAACAAGTGGTCGGTTATCTAGAGTCTGGTAGGAGGTAGCCTGGCTCTGTCAAAGGTAACAATGCAGAAACCAGAAAAGTCTGATACTACATCTAGAAGTAGCCTGTCGTCATTCATTGTCCTGGTTCTAAACGAGTTAGATAATTTCCCATTGCTCTTGGAGCTTTCGTAATAAAAGCAGCCTGGCCAGAGAGAAGGAAAAGGGTATGTATTCCAAAGGGCATTGCATTTCCATGGACTTCTGTGAATACTGGGTAGAGTGCGTGCTGCTCCAGGGACACATGGACGTGGATTCCATTAAACTAATAAAGGCCAGGAAGCTTTGTAAATACGGACTCCTCTT